TACAACTGTTACATAGTCTCAAAAGTGCTACAAGATCTCCTTGCATTTACTTAGTGAGGTTTCCTTCTACATGAGCAGGGAAAGGTTTGTGGCCTGAGCATAAAGCTACTATTGGGAGGCCTGAGAGACCACAGAACTAACTATTCATTGTCAAGAAACCAGGCTAGAGCTATGTAGTATGTATCCTCACACACCCAAAAACAAGATCAAAATTCCTGATACAAAGATTTCTTAAACTTTGAGACAGCTCCATTAGTCTTAAAAGTGGAGTCTTTTCATAAAAACACATTTAGAGGCATAATAATAATAAAAGAATCTTCTCTTTTTACTCATTCATATGCACACTACTCCCATATTTCACACCAGGTGAGATAATACCTGTTAGAGATGGAGTCAGATTTAAAAACTGAACTAGCACATTATCATAGTAAGCAAACAAGTTTGGTGGCTGATGTTCTGACAGGTAGAAGTTTAGTGCCTCCTACATGGCTGGCATTGCTCTAAAATTCAGATCTCTTCTAATCAAAAGGTGGCCCACAATATCATTAGTCTGTAGGTTTCTTTATGATGTAGTTGTGTTAAAGGAGCTTATAAGAGCATTGCCCATTGCAAGATGCCAAGGGCAGTGGGATTGAACTGCTTTGAAGAGCTAAGGGTTCTGTCATGCCTGTTGGAAGGAGTTTGCAAAGAACCTGCTATGCCATGCTTGAAATACAGTCGTCTCTTCCAATTCGTGCGAATCAGAAAAACTGCAAATATTGGAGCCCCATTGTTTTGAATGGCCGTGTGACCCTGCACATGTCCCGTGGGTGCGCACACCATTTTTGTCCCCCCCCCCGGCTTCCTGTCCGTGGAAGTTCAAAGCCGTGAATGGGAAGTCAGCTAATACGGAGGGACGACTGTACCCAATTTCATCTTCCATGCAGTCGTTCCCAACTTTTGGTCCATCATTTCTTTGGGTCCTCCATTTACTAACCTGGCCAACAGTCAGGAATAATGAGAACTGAAGTCCACATTATCTGGAGTACCAAACTTTGAAAAACACTGTACATTGATCCACAAATGTGTTTCATCAGTGTAGACCATACACATCCTTTCTAACATCAAGATGAGACCCTCTCTTGCTGTCCCCTCTCCCCTGTGTTCTCTGTGCATTGCAGAAAACATGAAGGGAAGGATCTTTTGCTTCCTGCTTATTTTATTTTATTTCTATCCCACCTTTCTCCCCAAAAGGGACCCAAGGTAGCTGACAATATAAAAACACAGTAAACCAACATTTAAAAACATTTAAAATAACCTAATTAAAACACTAGAAGATTAAATTTAAAAACATGCAAAAGTTAAAAACATAATCTAAACTGAATAGAGTTGGTTTGTGCTAGTCAGTTCCTCCTATGATTTGATTTGCTCAAGTGTTCCATAATGGAGAGGCATGGTGCTCCAAACATCACTGAAGTGCAGCTCGCATCAGCCTTAGCCAGTAAAGCCAATGATAAGGAATGGTGGGAGTTGCAGTGCAATCACATTTGGAAGGCTACATATTTCCTTCTCCTGCCATGAAGCCTAGCATGCTAGAGAATGGCTTAGCTTAAGAAAAAATAAATAAAAGATGTCATTTGTCAGCAAGAACAGAGATGACTATTGCTTGCTGCTTAAGCTTATAGCAGGATAGTGATTAAATAGAATAGCATGGTAAAGTAATTAGCTGTTTCTAAACAGAAAGGCAAGAAAGCACCTGCAGTGAAGGTTACAGTTGAAGATAGCCTATAACTCTCCCTTGCTGGCTTCAAGAACTAGTTCAGCTTTTCCCAGTCTGATGGTCAATACTACTCAAAGTGGTGTCCCTGAACCAGGGCTGGTCCCTGGCAAGTTTCCAAGGAAGAAAGAAATAGTTAGACCCAATGAGCATAAGTTTAGTGCTAGTCCTTGGAACATTGGAAAACAATAATTGTCAGCCTGAGAAGCACTTTTTAGATGTGTAGAACTATAACTCCCATGGGACTTTTAGCCTAGCACACCTGGAGGGCACCATGTTGGGAGAAGGAGCAGTTGAAAGAGGAGTACTCCCTATGTTACTTGCCATTTGTTTTTTCAAAATACAGCAGTTGCTACTACTTCATCTAATTTATAAATCCAAGTGTGTGACTGTAGGCTGACCCTCATATTCCAAGAGAAGAACTAAAAGGTAGAACTATTCATTGAGCTAGCCACTCTTACAGCAAGTTTGCCTGCATGGTTAAAATGTAATTTTTTAGATTTTGTTTACAACATCACTGTTGATGGTGAAATAGTTAAATTAAACTGACTTGTTCTGTAATTGTCTTATAAAGATACCTGTCAAATAAAGTGCATGTGTTTGAGTTGTTGGTTAATCCACACAATTACATAGGTTCTCATCCTTGTATGGGGTGGAATGACCTTAAACATGACATAGAGTAGGATCTGTAAGAGATAGGATGGTCATGAGATAAGTCTGTGCTGTTTTGATAAGTGGAGTATATCATCACAAGTGAAGGCCAGATATCAATTCGATATCTTTTGGTACTGTTTTGCTTGGAGGAGGAGTAAAGGAAATTTTAATGTAAACTATTTGAGATATGCAGATGAAGCTGTTCTTTAAGAGCTGAAGCTGATAACAGGCATCCCATACGTAGTACATCCCAACAGAGAATGTGGCTCCCATAAAACCAACTGTTCATTTAGCCTTTTCCTCTAAATCAAAAGGCAGAAAATGCTGTTCTTGTTGCTGAGGCAAAAGTCTTACTTTCAAATATTGTAAAATAATCTACTTTTTGTAGAATTCAAACAGTCCTTGCTTAAGTATTCCTATGCTTTATCTTGCCTCCCACTGACAATATTGTAAGATACAGTGAGGTCGAGGGAGCTCCTTACTTCACAGTTTAAGCTAATGTTTCTTCCTTTCTTTTCTAAACGTGAACAGAATCCCATTGAAGAAGGCCCCTTCTGTGCGGAGCATCTACTCTGAATATGGGACTAATATCCAAGACCTGACTGAGTACCTAGAAATGCTGAAATACAAATATGGGGGCGCAGGTGCAGGTACACCTACCCCAGAGATTTTGAAGAACTACATGGATGTAAGTATAGCAGCTGTTCTTTCCTTAATGGCATTGGCATATTCTCCTTATTTTGTAGAAAGCAATCTCTATAATATATCAAGGTGTCAGAAACCTGTTGTTGTCCTTGACATTGTATAGAAGCTTAGATGATAGGCAGTTTTATATAAAAACATTCAGCAGTTGGTGTTTCATTGGTACAGCTGCATATGTTCAGCTTCATTCCTCTAGGCAGGCTTGGTGTGTAGGCAGACTTGCACAACTGGCCTACAAATGCCAAAGTATGTGAAATCCATGTGAAATCCACTCCCACAGAAGCACTGTCCTCCTTGAGGCATGGCCTCCCTTCTGAGGAATCCATGTATCTATATGGGAAACACATGTTTATGACATTCCTTTTGCAAAAGTAGCTGTTGAAACAAAGGAGAATGTGTAGGCAGAGTGTGGAGAAATCAGGGAAGAGCAGAGTGGATGTAGTAGAGAGCGTGATTTCTGTGTTCCTGTGGCCTTGACATTCTGGGATCATGACTGGCCTACTAAGGAAAGGCTTCCACTGGTCAAGGAATCATTGCAGTAAACAAGCTTGAACCTAACAGTCAAATAACCATGATCTAATAGCATGATCATACAACCATGATGTTGTATGCCTTCAGGTTGCTTCTGACGAACCTATCACAGGGTTTTCTTGGCATGAT